TAAATTACCACAAGCTTGGGGAAAGGATGGATTTTAAGGTTATATAACTTTCAGCTGGAGCTGCATCTTCGGTGGCACAGAGATATTTTCAGCTGGAGTAGATAGTATGCATGGTTTCGGGCATGCAAGTACTAGCCCATCAGGTTTTAAAATGTGAAGTTGATGCTTACGGCAAGTACAATGGTTGGTCCTTCATACCTGTCAAAATTGCCCTTGAAGACATTATTACCAGAAATAACATATAGATTTTATCACAGGCCCAAATGCTCACCAAAAAGACAAAATAGGTTCTTAGAGGAAGAACACATTCCAACCAATTACAGATAAGAGTACAGTTGCAGATGTATGTTTGTAGACTCAGTCAAGAACAGGTAACACAGGCTGCAGATGTCTCAAATGTCAGCACATTCCTGTTGGCATCTGCCATGTGCACAGATAACAAGGACCAAAGATCTTACCTGGCAACCTGCGTGCCTATCATTATGTCCCCTTCCTTCATGTCCCTTTGACTGTAAGGTCTGTAACACAGGCAGAGATGGCTTACTGTAAGCAACTTTGATAATGTTTCAGATAAACTATGAAGTAGTACCTACTGTCTGACTCATAAAGAGACTATCAGCAGTGCTGCTGAACAGATGACAAAGAGCTTGTCACTGTAATGGCATAACCAGATGTTTCCCAGAGCCAGCTACTTGACCATCCTATCTTGACCAAACACTGGGCAAGAGTGCTGGGGACATAATAGCATTAATCTTCCCAGCATAGTCCACGACTACAAGAAGCCTGAGACTCAAAGAACTATCTCTGACACTAGTGCCCGCCAAGCCTCTTCAAACTACCCATTCTCCCTGTGCTTCAACCTCCACCTATTAATGTGGGTATATCAGCAATGTCCAACCTAGAACATGTATCCTTAAGTACAAGGTTGCTAAGATAAGCGAAGCAGGTACTGCTGCAGGGCTGCGGTCTCATTTGAGACTGTTGCATTCCAGTGGAAGATATGATAAGGAACAACAGCAGATTCCAAGAAAAGTCTATGGTGACAGCAACACTATCCCAATGTCTACTTAAATCTGGCACAGCTCCATATTTTGAGTCTTAGAATTTACACACATTTTACAAAAAGTACACAAAGGCTTTGGGACTCTGGCAACAGGGGGTGCTGCCAGTACATGTTCTTTTGAGGTTTAAATTGAGCAGATCAAATAAAGTGTCTTAGTCAGCAATTCAGAAAGAAGAAAAAAATATACCTCATGTAAGGATCAACACTGAGAAACACTGATTCAAGCAGCAACTCTGCAACAAAAGACAAAGCAAATTCCTGGACATTAGCAGTGCAGTAAAGCATAGTTTCCACAAGTCAGCCTTTCAGCAAAAGTAACAGGAATTCCCGACAGATCAAAAACCCCATATCCCATCACCCTTTAGGGAAAAACATACCAGAAAAGGACTACAACCATTCATTAGTTTTAGGTTATTGGTGTTCCGTTACAAAAGACACTTTCCGCAGTGTACCTTCAGGAGACTAGCTTATTTTCAACCCTGCTTTTTCGTACCTGCCTCCTCTGCCTACAGGAGGGTCAAGCAGCCAGAACGCCTAAGCAAAACACCGATTTAATTTTGACCCTTACATAAAATGCCTTCCCACAATTCAGACAGCAGAGGGCGGTAAGAAACCTTGGCACAGGTCAAATACAAACACGACTTGGCTGCCTTAAACAGAAAGCACTAGGCTATCCTACTAAACAGCCTAATCTACCTTACTGTCTCCGATGACACTAGTTCTTGGGAAATACACTGTTAAATACATTTTAATTTAAATTCTCATTCACACAACAGCTTTAGTGCATATCCACATACTAATACTTTTCATTGCCTGTGCTGGCAATGGTGGTCTGGCTAGTACCAGATAGAAATATGTTGAGATATAAATATCTGCCTATTAGAGTGAGCAGGTAGGCCATGGAACAAGAAGAAAGCCTATCTCCTTTAAAAGTGTAACTCTGGTATGAATTTATACCTCTTCTTGCTGTAGGGATTAAAATGAGAAGGGAAATTCCTCCACGTTCTTAAATATCCACAGGCATGAAATTTTTAAGTGTGTCTGGGATACAATAGTGCACATGCTATGAAAACACTCAAAAACATATGTAAGAAGAAATAAGTTTTCAAACACTTAAGTTGCAAACTTAAGTGGCATTTTAATGCAATTTCTTTCATGCATTTTCTAAGGTGAAGTAAATTTTGTAAAGGACAAGTGGTGGCTCAAGATAGCATGGTGTGAATGTCCACGTGAAACCAAAAATCATCTTTTATCGACAGCTCTTGCATATAATGTTAAGATATTCCTTACCCTTGTCAAAACCAGAGAAGCACTGGCATAAAACCTGTGTGGTTTTTTCTATTTATAATCACCCTCTCCTGTTGTTGCAACAGGTCAAGTACAACACATAAGGACTGGCAAAAAAATAGATGTTGAATGCAGGCAGAAGTCTCACCCTGTTACTTTTTAAAATAAAAGACCAGCATTCACTGGCTCCAGCCCCAAGATCTCCCAGCTGCGGGCTCACCCCCAATGCAGTCACTCTGCTCTCCACCAGCACTGTCCTCAATACTTTCCCTATCAGCATGAAAAACTCCACTGAAAACCTACTCCTAGAGCGTACCATCTTCTCCATTTTTTCCCAAAGGATTTTGAAAAAGAAAGTAAATAAAAACCTTTCACTAGTTAAAGCATGTCTGGGGTTTACTACAGTTACGTCCTTTGCTCTGTGTCACAGTCCACTTCTCTCTTTCTAAATTAAACAAATTCTGTTTTCCTTGTGGCTGTTGTTTGAGGCCATATCACTTCCACAATTTTTTTTTCTCCAGTAACCTTTATTGGCAAACACATTCGAGTGCCTTTGCCATCAGGCACCACTGTGATCAGGCAGCGTGAAGCTGTGAAAGGCGTGCCACAGCTGCTGTGTGCTGGCGCTAGAAGAGCTCAGCCATTGTTTCTAAGGGTTATTATCAGAAGGCAACACATCTTAATAACCACCAAACCCATCAGCATACACGTCCTTCAGCAACCGTCCTTCTCTCTTTAGGTGCACAGCTTGCCGCAAGCCGTGCCACACCAGTTTTGAAAATCCAAGCCAGAGAAACCTGCAGACAGTTCTACAGATGCACAGGCATTCGTCTGCAATCAGAAAACCTCCAGTGAAATTAATCACAGATAGCACTCCACTCACCTCCATCCTTTAGGTTTGGCAGCTCTATCTTTTTCAGGTCAAAGTTGCTGTTCTGGGGGAAACCTTCAAAATGCTTCTTCAGCACCCACGCCTTGGCAGTCACCATCCTGCACAACAAACAACAGCCAAAGAGTGCCTGTCAAAGCAATGCCCAGCAGTGCTGCGCTGCTTGTGGGGGCTGGTTTAGACTTCATGAAGCAGAACAGCTATCTCGGTAGTGTGCCACACCACAAGACAGCTTCCGCTTGATCTTGATCCCGTAGCACTACCACCAGATTAAGAAAACATCTGAAAAGCCTTAGCAAGCCAGAGCTTCCTGCAATCTGCTGGACCTCCCTGCCTGCTGGCAGGAAGCCCTGGTGCGGCAGGTCAGTCCCAGGAAGACGTGCAAAGGAGAAAAAAAACCAGCAAAAATACACAAGGAAACAACACTAAAAATTTTCTCTTTTCCTCCGATTACATGGGGTGAGTACTGAACCTTAACTGTTACAAGCTTGAACCAAAGTGCAAGTGAGAAAAACAAAGGTAAGTAAAGCCTCTCTCTGTGACACTCATTATATTGAAAGAAAATGCTCCTTCAGTTGCCAAGCTTAGGGCTTGGAACTCGGAGCACATTGTCACCAGCATTTTCCATATAAGATGGAAACACACAAATGACTTGCATTAATTCTACTCTCACAGCCCCTTTTCCCTTCTTACACACAAGTGCATCAACAAAGACAAAGGAATAGAAGTTTGTACTTAGAGTCAGGTGAAAAACTGTCTTCTGCATACAAAGCTAGTCAATAACCTGCACTCCGACAGTGGCTGGAATCCTTCAGCCTCAGGCACTCCCTAAAAGCTGAGAACGTCTGCTTTTATGGACAGGGCAGGCACCGCCCTCAGTACACTTCCCCAGGAACAAGACCAAACCCTCAGTAAACATGGCATAGGACACACCCATTGTGATTCAACTTTGTTCAGGGACTGCCTGTTTGCAGCTTTTCTTCTTCTTATGAAATCATTCAAGTAGAATATGAAGGGTGAAAAGTGTAAAGAAACTGATACAAAAGATGCCGTGACAACAGCAGCAACAACAAAGCAGAACCAACAAACAGGCTTACAGGAGAAAAAGGTGAGTTCAGAGTAACACAGAACCGGTCCCACTTGCTCACTGACACCCACAAGCACAGAGAGGGGTTTGTCTCAGCAATGTGTCTATCCTGCATTCAGACAGGCACCCAAATGCTCCAGCCAGGAGTGACCAGGGACAAAAGATGCTGGGTAGGCTGGCAACCGTGTGCTGCTGTGCCATTTGTACTCCCGGGGGCCTAACAGTGATTCAGAAATTCAGTTGTCTCCTATCCTGTCCCACCTTTGTGAGTCATCAATACTCCTTGCTCTTTGTCTGTTTTGTCTGTTTGCCTCAGGACTTAGTCCTGTTCTTTACATTCCCACCATGGGCTCCTAATAGCTTGATTCTTCATGTGCAGGAACCTGATGCTTGTTCTCCCTTTGTTTTCCCTTCCCGGCCCTCGTAGAATTTGCAGAACATATGCTGTAGTCGTGATGGTCTGCAAAGCTAGGTGCCATCAGTACTGGCCATTTCCGTCTTTCTTATGTTGTTTCTTCTGGTGCTTCCACTCCCAGACCTCCCATTCACACTGATCTTCACATTCCCATCAAAAATTTCTACTTTTTGTGATATACAGATGATAACAAGAATCGAATAGTCAAAGCAAAGAGTAGGATAGAGGATAGTCAGGTAGAGAGCACCTGAATAAATAAGAAGAGAAAGGTTGATTAATAAGGAATTGTCTTAGTTTATTCAGCATGAAAAGGGTAGAACTTAGGGCATTATTTTAACTTAGGTAGCGTAAAACAGGGAAGAAAAACTAGATGCAGCTGGACTCATGACCTAGCAATATGTGCCAAACTCAAAGGTCAAACTGATGAAGACCATCGGCCTTCCTCCCGACGACCCCCGGCCGACCACCAGAGACCGTGGGACTAATGCCAAGTGGGAGGAGATGAAGGAGGAGATAATGATAATGATTTCCAAGAACTAATTGTAATAATGACCACCTATTCCTGGAAATAATGAATATGTATGAGTTCTTTAATGTATATAAACTGTGAAGTTTTTGTCTCTGGTTGCGCAAGTTTGGTGGAGCGATCCCCCTTGTGCCCAGCGCTGAATAAACAAATACCTGCTACCTCTGAGATACAAGTCTGGGGGTAGTTCTTTTTCAGCCCTTTTCTCGGCATCACAGATTTTCAGCAGAGCAATGATCTTGCCTATAAACAATACTGAAAGATTAATTTCGCTGAATCATTTTTATTACACATAGGCCTAATTTTGGAAACAAGACAAATTTTCTGCTGACCACTTCTCACTTTCTACCTAAATAGCATCATTATAGTCACTTCAAGGCTGGGAATGTTTTCTGTAGGTTGTGAAATGAAAAGCCCCAAACCAAACTAAGAGAAAACAGAACATAGAGAAATGCTTGATGAATGGATTCACAAACCAATTTCCAGCTTAACAAACCAAGATTGTTTTGTATGTTTAGATACAAAATCATAAGAAAGGGTAAGGACTACATTGAATAAGCATATGAGATAAGGATAGGCAGCAATGATGCAACATCAGTGAAAGATTTACTAGACTGAACATATGACAGCCACCAACTACTCACCCCAGGGATTTGTAGCCACTGCACTGTAAAACTACTTTGTTTTCAGTGTCAGTGGGTTTGAATAGCACATTTCTTTTGTGTGTTTTCTTTATGAAGTGTCTCATGGACCATTTACTATCATTACAGCAAAGAGGCTGCTATGACAAAAACTTGAGAAAGAACAGTTCATGATGGTGTGTTAGGGTTTGGTAGGAGCTCCTCTGTTGCTTTAAGGAATTTTCCCCCATACATGTTAACAGATGGTCGGATACTTAAGAGAGACAAAGGACCCCGACCACTGGGGTGGGACACCTTTTCTTTTGCAAAAGACCTCAGCGCACGGGGAACTTCGTTTTGGGATCGGCGTTCTGGGAGGTAGGGAGCTGC